ACGAAACTATCTCGCAAAGAAAAATATGCACCGGCCTCGCTTTTAATGCAGGTTGAAAATTTCTATTCTATTAAATTCAACGTACATTACGTCACGTGCAAAATATGCGCGCGAACGGGTTTTACGCATCTTTGTTTGTTCTAAGAAAAAACGCGCCGTATAGAAGAAAGCATGCAGTCCGCGCGATAACACTTTCCATTTGCCGACAAAGACGGCCGACTTCTCTGGCGCAGCCTAACTTTGGCCTAAACTAACATACCGAGATGTAGATTCGTGGAGCCACTGCGACGTAAGTCTGTCGCTAGGCTCTGCATCGCACACGCGCGATCGCGGAAAAACACGACCGATTGGTTTTTCAGCATCTGTCTAGATTATTGGCGGCGCTGATTTCTAAATGCAAATGAAATCGGACGATGTATATTCCCCGCCCGCCTGACAGATTAGCGGCTTTTCATGCTATCTGTGGGCGAATAACGATCTGAAATAAGCTCCAGCTATGTGTTTTGTTGATACAAGCATCCTAGAGTTGGACTATATGGGAGGTGGATGAAGACAGTTGTTGTTATGCAGATAACGTCACTTCTATACTGGAATCTAAATCATGCGTGTTTTGTTATGAAAATTAACCCTATCACTCGAGCTCATTTGAATGTTTGCAAAATGTTTTTTTCAATCCGCATATGATCTTTATCTTCCAGCAGAGCGTAGTGCGAGCGTGGACTATGGGGAGTCGTGTCGCGCTAGTAGGCTGTATTCATAATTTATATTAGTAGCCGCTGAAAATCGAACGCAATGCCTCTGCGGATACTTGGAAGAAAGGTTGGATATGCATCATAATAACACGGTTTGTGGTCCGTGACTACTTTACCACTGAACGCTAAGCACATGGGATGAACACCTAGGTCGGATCTTGGAGTAATCATTCTGACTGTCAGAGTGATTACTCCAAAGTCGGGTACATGTTACCATCTAACTATGATCGTTGGATGTTGAATGAATCGCTGTGTAATCTAATTTGCTGACCACAGCCCTTCGTCTCATCAGCTCCCGTACTACTACCTCTGTTTGTAGTAATCATGCTATACTTCATCCCTAGAGGCTTTACAGCGTGAACCCTGCTACTGTTATTCGGCCATGTTTTTTTAGGGAAACATAACCCCGCACCAATCTGTTCCTCATTTGCCAAATTGCTTGTCCACATGGGCTCCGATTTCATGAAAAAGTGCTTGTATTTTGACGTGGATGCCTTTTGGCACCATCTGCAAGTGTCAGCAATATCGCGCATTTTCCGATAGACCCTTGATGTGTTTTTTTTGCAGATGTTAATGTGCCAGAGAACATCTACTGTTATATACCTCTTACAACCAACCTGTTAGCTTACTGCTTCTATAAGCTTCATTACACATGCATAAAGCTATAACCCAGTTTAAACCATGGCTAATTGAAGCGTATCCTTGCTCTCCAACTCTTTCTCGTGCGCGCTCTCTCACTCCTCTTATCCGCTTTCTGTGTCTCACTCCGTCGAATTAACGGACGCACGCGCGCGCGCACAAACACACATGCACACATTATCCCCATATATTCACACATTAATACATTCCCTCTTCCCCTTTCTCATTCACTGTCTCTCTTCCTCTCCCTCTCTCTCTCTCTCTCTCTCTCTCTCTCTCTCTCTCTCTCTCTCTCTCTCTCTCTCTCTCTCTCTCTCTCTCTCTCTCTCTCTCCTCTCTCTCTCTCTCTCTCTCTCTCTCTCTCTCTCTCTCTCTCTCTCTCTCTGTCTCTCTCTCGCTCTCTCTCTCTAGCTCTCTTCCTCTCTCTCTCTCTCGCGCGCGCTCTCTCTCTCTCTCTCTCCAACCCCTCTGTCATTCGCTTTAAGTTTCTACCTCCTCCTCTCTATGGTCTTTCATATACTTTACATATGTTCGCCTTTGAAGTTATTTTAGTCGCATTTTCGGCCACGTAGTTATCAGGCCACCAAGCAAATTTATTGCAGTTTGTAGTTTCAGGCGGCATGTAACTGCCGGATACTCGAGTAAATCAGCTTATGCGGTACACGCTCGTCCAGTGAATCACATGACTGACTTATGATGCAACAATTTGCTAATGTCAAAATGATTGTCAGGGCTTATAGTAAATACAATTTTGTGCGCGTTGTCGAATTATCCCCAAACGTCATCTCTAGTGTGAATTTAAAAATTATTATTAAGACATTAAATTAAGATAAATATTTGAAATTGCAAGGTAATATTTTCAAAAAGATGTTTGTAACAGCAATAAATAACCAGAGAATATGTTATAGGGAACACGCAACTGCAAATGGATTTTATCTACATTTGGTTAGCTCACAACGTGTCATCAGACTAAAAAGCTCATGGTAGTTTCCTCTAAACTAAGTGCTGCAATAAATATAATTATACTCTACTTTATCTAATTATAATAATGTGTTTATGTCTGTTTTACTGTAGGCAAAACGTGCGCCTATCCATACAATGTTACGTTATGCTCGTCCAGTGGGTGAATAAAGTTGTGCAATCTCCTATCAATCAATCTAGTAACCATTGAGTTTTAGAGATAATTTATCTTTCTCGCTTGTCCTCTCTCCCTCGCGTCCCTAATCTTACTTCCCCTCCTCTCTCTCTCGCTCTCTCTCTCTTCCTCTCTTTTCCTTTCTCTTCCTCTCTCTTCCTTTTCTCGCTTCCTCTCTCTCTCCCTCTCTCTCTTTCTTGCTATCTCTTCCCCACTCGCGCGCTCTCTCCCTCTTTTCTATCTCATCAATGAAGCTGAAACCCACTCAATCTTCATCATGATTATACAGTATTTCGAAATCTATACGAATGCCTCAAAACGCTAAAAAAATTCATTTAAGAATCAGCTTCTCTGAAGAATGGAGCTTACTACGTAAGAACCCATCTATATATGAGGTGTCTTATATCATGCTGATGTACTGCTGTGCGCGTGAGCCGGCACCGACTATCGATACATGTGGTGATCACGGTTGGTGATCAAAATCCTTCGAACAACTATCCGTTCTCCCGCGCGAACCAAATGGCTAATTTCGTCTGACATTAGCGGATCCCATTGTCAGAGAATAATAAAGTGCGTAAGAGCCATTCTAGACGAAAATAATCCACGGATTTGAACACGTCAATAAGTTGAATGGCTGGTGCGATGGCATGGGCGTGGGTGCGATCGTGTGTCAATGGAATAGTTTCAATGGATCACCGCGGGGTGTCGCCGCTGGCTCGCTAGCTAGCTAGCTAAGCAGCGCGGCAACGAAGCGCGCTCAGTTCGCATGTAGCTGTGCTAGGTACCGTACGAGGTTGTACAGTAGGTCTGTTGACAGCAACTTTAGAAGAGTTTAACTACGCGCGTTTCTACCTCTGTGCTGGTGTATTAACTATGTGGAATACTTGAGGTGCCGTTGGGAGACGGAGATCGTGCCTGAGAGAGTGGATTTGCTACAAACCGCAGGTAAAGCTAGGTGTTTATGGAGGGGTGATCAGCATCACGCGGCAGACGTATGTTGTTTGCGTATCTAGACGGAGGGTCGATTGAGCGCGCGTGCGCGCATCACCATCAGTCCCTGATCAGTGTTAGCTACCACAATTCAACCTACCATATTACTATGGCGTACTAGTAATATAGCCAATATTTAATAATCTAATTGTTATAATTGTCATCACTTCTATCATGCAGATTAAGGTTAATCATGCAATGGTTGGGGATAGGTTAGGAATATAATTTTATGGTATTAAACATACGTGGTATACATAATACGGTACCTAGTATTACTAGTTAACCTAAGTAATATTTCTTTGTGATACAATATTACCTATATTCTATAAATTATAAACTATAAATTATAAATACATATCATTCTTAATTTGTACGCTTAAATTAGATATATACGAAGTATCTGATTATGGGACCAAAGTGCTCGATTTTATTATTTAAAATAATGATATTGATAGCCCCATGAGTAGTTCTTTGTCCAAACCAGATATTTAGCAAGAAGGCTACCACTACCAGACAGAATCAAATGTCAACGTGAATTTGATATCGCATCTACATGCATGCAAGCTGCGGTGTAAACTATTTACATTTCTGTCGTGGGCACTAACTGACGGGAACATGTTTTACTGCACGACTGCAGTGCAAGTCTTTCTCGTTTATCTTATGTTTATATTCTGTGTGCGTGCGTGCGTGCGTGCGTGTGTGGGACCAAGCGTGTGATTGTGCATGTGTTGTTGAATACGTACATAGCTTAATTTCTCTCATCAAGTATGATATAAGTATGCTTAGCTTGTGTTTTCAATAGCAGCTGCCATATTTATATTCACGGTACCAAAAATACATCACTTTATAGTTGTAGTATGTTTTTAAAATAACATGCTTTTGTAGCCAGATCATCTGATTTTTTAATATGTTTAAATATATATATATATATCTTAATATTGTAATGTCATGGTTTAATAGTGATCTAAAATGTTTTGCATGACATATTAAAAAATTCAAAGCTCAGTGCATGTATCTATATTATCTCGTGCAACCTAACTAGGTACGTATAAACATGTTGAATAGATACAATAATTATTATGTTATGTTTCATGTAGAATAATATATGTGTTTATTATTCTCCATCTTATATACTATTGTTTATATTATATAATATCAAAGATATTACTACTAGAGTAGTAGGAGTTTGATAATATTATGAATCATGTGGGAATAAGTACAAATTCCTTTTATTATCTCCCGAAAATACATGGTAAATTCTATATGTTGTATAAAAGGCTTAAAATGTTATTACGTTTGAATTGTTTTTTTTTATATCAAATGACTAAAAATGTGATGCATAATATAAAATGTGTAAATTAATGTATATATATAGTATTATATATATATGCGTGCGTGTGTGTACTATATTACTTTAAATCTTTCATATTATGCACACTGTACAGTTGAATCGCCTTATTAAATGTGTCTGGTTTTATTTTCAGAATGACCATGGGCACAAATTGGCCTGGTGTATTTACTACAATTCTGATCATCACTTGCCTGCAGGGAGCAGTGTATGGAGGAATCGGAGGTAAGTCATTATTTTCCTAGTTTTTGTATCATCTGAACCAAATAGCAAGATACTAGAATGTCACGCCCAAAACGCAACAAATCAATGAGCACGAGTGTTATGTAGGAGAGGCACACACACACATGTGTGAAGTGCTGGCAAGTAAGTAGGCATCTTGAATTTTAATTTTGGCAATGACGAACACTTTTGATACTTTGCAGTTCTGAAAACTCCCTATTCGGTCCTTGTAGATAGAAAACCAACTGTACAGTTCAGAGTTATAATGAGGTCCAGGTCTGTCAGTCACTCCGGGGGCAGCAGATTGAAACTAGTTGTAATAAAAAGGACATTATATCGCTGTACACTTCTAATACAGCACAATTTAGCTGCCGGGCAAATTTCTCATAGAAAGTACTGAACATGTGGCCAGCGAGAACTGATGTGGCAAAATAATATTATAAACTTTAGCTTAGTGCCTATTTATATATATAAACGTTTTTACTCGCGTGTGGATTGGTTTCTGTCAAAGTCGCATCATCCTTCTTCCCCATCCCAGAATGTGCAAAGGTTGCGGAAGGTGGGAGGTCCTGGGTCTGGGAGAGAAAGCAAGTAATTCCAGCTAGTCCACACCAGACTTGCTAGAAGTCATGCAGTGTCAGGCATGTAGCAAGGAAGAACCACCGTTTGACACATCCAGCAATGGCAGACCACTGTCCACAGCACTGTCCGCTGGCACTGGATAACCACAATTATCCCATCAGCTGAATAGACTTCCAGCTGACCCAGAACGTGAATGCACTGTCTGGCTGCCCAGTGGGCGTCTGGTGTGGCTACTAGTTACTGCCCTGTGACATGAACTCACTAACTAGCTATTCATTGACTGGCACCATGGAGCCGTTAATAATGAGTAATTAGTTAATTGTTGTGGCCAACTGCTCGGCGGGGCTGGGAGGATTTTTTATGCACACAGACACAGAACGAATTTGGTGAATAAGAGACATATAGGGATGGGGAGGGCTGTGCCAAATGGGCACACAGTCGGGGCATTATCTTTAGCATGTAATACTGAGATGGATGTTGCCAGAAAGGCTTTCAGCTTAGGTAGTACTTTTTGTCATGGGATGTGCTACTGAATAGGCTTTTATGTCATCTTTCTCACTGCAAAGTAGAATTAACAGGGGTCCTGGGGGGTAGTGGCAGACGTACTGAACTTATACAGACAAACAGGCCAGCAAGCCTTGCATTTGAAATGACACGGGTCGCCATATTCACTTTAGGCTTTTAATACTGGTGAAATCATGCATGCATGCGCATGCAGGCAGCCACGCACTGCAACTGCAAGTAGGCCTAATAGTTTGCTTTACTGTTACAGTCAATCCCCACATATTATATTGTATTAGAAACGTACATTCTACCTATATAAAGGGCTCTATATATTAAAACTAACATAGAAGCTTTTGAACCGAACGCACCTAGTGCGTTTACGACAAGCACGCACACACGCACGAACGCACGGGCGCGCACACACACATACACACACATTCTCCACTCGGACTAACGGTAGCACACACCACATACGCAAGCATGTGTATTTGCGTTGCAGATCTGCTAATTTACAGCACATTTTGCCAACAATCACTGGCATTGATTTCATGGGTCGATTCACCCCATCTAGAAAAGAACTGTACTGCCTGCAGCAGGCGTGTAGCTTACATATATACCTCTGCCGTTGCACTGCCTTTTCCTTGGTTGTGATACCCAGCGGGCCATATGGAAACCTTCAACCAGACCTCTGTAATTGTTTTAGGATCTTTACTTGCAAAAATAGCGCTGGACATTCTTTTTGTACGCTATTAATTTTATACCTGATATGTTTATTCTGTTCGTGGCCAGCTGTTTGGTTCGAAATAGATGGTTCCTCGTCAGCATCCAAGCTTCTTTGTCATTGCACTCCCAAGTTGTTGTAAGGAAAGTGGATTTTTGTGCGTGGCAGTCTAGTTCTATGTGCTGACGTCTTTATGAGTTCAGGGCTTATATGCTCAAGCAAATATTATATTCATTTACAGACATGATCAATCAGCTATTTGGGAAGTAATGATACCGAACGAGAAGTACAGTAAATATTAAACAATTTAATCCGCATTTTATTACAGCGTCTATAATCTCCTCTTGAAACGTTTATGAATGCCCGCCTAAAGAAATGTATTTTGTGAGTAGGATTTATTATCGTAACTCCTTCATGGCTGTTTATGCACATATGAACAGTTTTGTCGCTTCGTAGCTAGCTGATGGGCTTTATGGCCATTATTACTTGCAAATGTTTACATTCATGTCATGTCTTAGCAAAGAACCGTAATGTTTGAAATTACATATCCTCGTGTATACACACACGTACGCAGATGATGCGCTCCCATAGAGTGGTTTTTACAATCAATATTATGGTGTTGAAGCGCGTTTCACCGCAAATATCCTCGTTCCAATTATCCTTACTAAAGAAGGCGCATGGCAGCCGCGAGTTCTCTGCAGTTACACTGTGAAATGTGCATAAAATCGTACTTTACATGTACTATCTCTCTCTTCTAGAGTCTCCCCCTTCTCCCCCTCTCTCGCTCCCTGTATACTCCCCCCTTCTCGCTTCCTCCCCTCTCTCGCCCCCTGTGTACTTTCCCCTTCTCTCTTCCTGTCTCCTTTCTCTCTGGCAGCTGGCGTAATGAAATCATGGCGTTCGTATGATGTTGACCAGATAACCAGCAGACTGGGAGAACTGTCATGCGGGCACAACTGTATTCGAGTTCGAGAATGCCCCGCGAGAGGCTGAACGTGTCAACTGCTGGCAGATACATGAACGTAACATGTATATTGTGTCATTTCGCACTCCTGCTAGAAACACAGCTGATGGAGAGCTGACTGTCCGGCAGCCACATATAATAGTGTGTGTGTGTGTGTGTGTGTGCGTGTGCGTGTGCGTGTGCGTGTGCGTGTGCGTGTGCGTGTGCGTGTGCGTGTGCGTGTGCGTGTGCGTGTGCGTGTGCGTGTGCGTGTGCGTGTGCGTGTGCGTGTGCGTGTGTGTGCGTGTGCGTGTGCGTGTGCGTGTGCGTGTGCGTGTGTGTGTGTGTGTGGTGGTGGGGGGGTAGGGGGGTATGGTAGTCGATAGTACGTAAA